AAGCCCAAAATCTCTGTAAATGTTTATGAAAATTAATAAAATATAATTATAGGGGAAAAAAAATAAAAAAAAGTACTTGTTCCTTTGGTTTTGCTAATCTCCACCCCTGATGTGTCCTCATGGGGAGTGACCTTTGCATCCCATGTCATGCAGGTGTACTGGCACTCAAGTGCCCATGTACTTGGGGAGGCCATGGAGCTCTACTATGGTGGCCACCTGTGCTACAGCCCACCCACCGAAAATGGATTTTATTATGATATGTTCACTGGAGACAGGTACATACTCATTGTTCACTCCTGAACCAAACACAGTGATGACTTACTGGTTTAGTAGGGTGTGTGTGTGTGTGTGTGTGTGTGTGTGTGTGTGTGTGTGTAAATAATTTATTTATTGAGTCCATAATGCCCACAGCCATTTAAATAATGTGTTTGGAAGCTGTAATATAAGCAGCCAGCACATAAATAGCAGAAGAGATAATCAGCATTACACAGTTCATGAAAGCTGTATTTGCTTGTATTCCTACATTTGATAACGATAAGGGGGGGGGGAACAGCACACATTTAGAATTTTAAGGAAAAATTATACTTTTGCATGGTGTCTGGCTGTGTATAGTGATTTATATATATTATTATTTATTTAGTGATTTTATATATTGAAGTGTAATTGTAGTTGGTTTAGCCATTTTAGAAAATGGTTGTTTTTAGTAAGTTTAGACAAAAGGGTATGTTTTCATTGGTTGTTTTCTCCCCATAAGGAAGCAAATGCTATTTATCTATTCTGTCACTTTTTTGGAGAATGATACTAATTAAGGTCAAAATGACAGATTTAGTGCCCAGTCCACAGTGTGTTCATTACTGCCTGGTAATTAAAGACTCTGCCTGCTTCAGATGGTGCTGTGCTAGCGTGTGATAGAGGCATCTGTCTCATGAGTGTAGGTGGAAATTGCCAGCACCTTCACTGACCAGCCTCCTTGCCTTCATTCCTCACAGTTCTGCTGCCAGGACAGATCTGAGTCCTTCTGTGCCTTCCGCTTTGCTTACTTGTTTCTAATCCTATCATTGAATCTGAAGCTGCCCGTCTTATTTCCTAAATGCTCTCCAGTCCTCCTCCTCACTTGATTTCTGCCTTACTTGAAAGCAAGGCATCTCCTATCTATTCCATTTGATAAGACAGATCACACCATGTGGAGATGCCTCAATCTCTCAGGAACACAGGCCTATCTGCTGTGTGGATAAAAACTTGCCTTTCTGAAACCCTGTCACAATAAAACAAACCCCTCACTTAGAAAAAGTGTCAGTTAGTGAGAAAGACTATATGGCAGGCTGCATGGAGGAAAGCAATGTAGTTTTGATAATGAGTTTTGATTCTTACTTGCTCTTCTTTTTAGAGCCGTCTCCAGCACAGAGCTGTCAGCACTGGAGAACATATGTAAAATGATCATAAAAGAAAATCAGCCTTTTGAAAGACTGGAGGTCAGCAAAGAAGCCCTCCTGAACATGTTTAAGGTAACTTGGGAAACTCTGAGATTAAGAAAATCTTTTACAAGGAATATAAAATATAATTATTGTATACTAGCTTTTTGATTTTTTTTTTTCCAAATTATTCCCTACTCACCAAAACAAATTGTTCCATATAGTCTGGTGTACTACTGTGAGACTGCTACTAGCTATTTGCTATGTGACATTTCCTTAAAATTTTAAGATTAATAAGAGTATAACAGATTATTTTCTTATGTGTGTTTATAAATTTGATTAATTCTCAATATGACTGATATTCTATTAAATGCTATCTATAATCCATATAAAATTCTGCTTATCCTCTTTTCTTTGGATTTTTCTTTTTTACTTTTTTTAGCTTAGAATATCATTGTAAAGTCGCCGAGGAAGGACAGAAAGTTCGGGCCAAGAAAGACAATTTATTGAGGAAGAAATGCAGAGCTGGCTCTCAAGAAGAAGATCAGCCCCCACTAAAAGTTAGAGAGGGATTTTATATTTTCTTACAGGAACTTGGAGAAGGGGATACTCACAGGTGCTTCCTTCACAATAGGAAGTGGGCTGGGGTCTCAGATAACTATCCCTGGGAAAGGGGGAGTAGGGTAGTTTCACATCCTTGACAGAGAGAAAAAGCACAGCTGCTGTTTTCTGTGATTGGATTCTCTCCACAGCCATTCTGGGAGAGGAAAGAAAGGGCTCTGCAGTCCTAATATTCTAGCCTTTTATTAACATTGAATGGGGGTGATGAGGTTCTCTTATGTAACTACTTCCTGCTGGATTGGAACAATGGACTAAAGGAAGGGGAAAATGCTGTTTATTTTAGGCATCAGAGTCTGTAGGTGGGATAGTGGAGGGTAATGGTTGGTACTCAGTTGGTAATAAGAGGAGTTCATGGACTGTGTGTTTGGCAAAAGCTTTCATCCGTTCCTGTAGAAAACTAGAGAGAAACTGTATGACACAAGGACCAAATATTAAGATTAATAAAATTAGGTTCAACACTTAGATTGTCCTGCATGCCCATGATAAGAGCCAGAGCTGTGGGTACTAGAAGCTACTAATTGTCCCATCCAGAAAGTGTGCTGACCTCATGTACAGAGAGTAGCAGACTTGCAGCAAGATGAGTGTGAATAGGCTAAGACAGAGTAAAAGGTTTGGGACAAGGTCGGTGGGTTAAGTTGGACCAAGGTAGGTGGAGGACTGTAAGATACAGAAAAAGTAACTTAAGGAAGGTGTTAGCTTTGGGTATCATAGCAAAGACTGAGTTTTTGAGTGTAAGAATTAGAAGGAATGGATTTTAACAATATGGTAAATAGCCACTTTTGCTTAGAGGAAGAATGAAAGCAAACACTAGAATAAGGACTATAATAAGAGAATTTTGTTATGTGGAGGTGGAAAGAGAGAAGTTTTAAATTTGGAAAGTAAGTCTCTCCCTAAAAGGGGCATTGAGGTAAAATGAGGAAGGAGTATAAAAAAGGACCCCTTGTGTTTGGCAGGGGACGGGAGTGTGGTTAAAGGTGAAGAAACAAGACCAACACCACCAACAACAGAGATCTGTGAAGGAAATGTTGGTCCTGAAAATTTAGGTAGGACAGAGTAAGTGGCCTCTGTATCTATTAAAAAGGACATTGGCTTACCTGCAACTTCAACCCTAAGCTCCTCCACAGTGATATTAGACGGGGCAAGTGGCCCTGGGCACCTTCAGTCTTCAGTGGCTAGGCCCAGAAGGCTGGGAAGGCTCAGGTCTGAGAGACAGTCAACTGGGGAGATGAGGAGACTGGTTCCTCCGTCTGGGAGAGGAGAGGGCAGTCTATCTTCCATTGTCCCTTTTCTCCACACCTGGGACAAGATCCTGGTGGAGGTTGGAAAGTAGGACACGCTTTAGCCCAATGACCTTCTTTACCACATTTAAAACAGAGCCTGAGTGGAGTCTTATGGGGTACTCGTGTTTTTGCAGCACCAGAGCTTCTGAGGGCAGCCACCAAGAGCTGGTTATTAGCCTTATCTCTTTGGTCTTTGTCTTTTCTTGCTCTTCTCTATTATTATAGACTCTAAATGCCATATACAGAAGATCTCGTTGAGGGGTTTGAGGGACTTCTTCTGTTTTGGGCTTTTTTTGTTTTTTTTTTTTTGTTGTTGTTGTTATTTGGGGTTTTTTTAGTTTTTTTCCAAATATGAGGGGCTGATTGGGAGATAAAATGGGCGTTTAGAACCATTATCCCTTCTGCCAAATTGGGGTTGTTTTTTGTGTACTTTTGGAGGGCTTCTGTTAATCTAGATGAAAACTAGGCTGAGTTTTTATCTGGTTTCTGAGATATTTCTCAAAGCTTTTCATAATTGACTACTTATGGTCTGCCTTTTGTAGCCCAGGTATTAGACAACCATTATGTAACTGTTGGCAGCCAGGCATGTGAAGTTGTTAATCCTAATTGGGATCTTCCTGGGGCACAGCTGCTACACCTATGGGATGATGATTATCCATCCTGTGTAGATCATCACTGTGTGCCTGAGAGGCTAGCCAAACTCTCTTTTTCCTCAGGAAGTAGGGTGGAAGTTAAAATTATATGCAGGTCATGCCAAGTGAGGTCATATGACTAGGTTAAATATTTGAATTATTTTATATGAGTGTCTGGGTCTGTTGAGAAAGAGCCTAAATATTTTTCAATTTGGGGAAGTCTAGGATGGAGTAAGGGATGTGTACTTTAATAGTCCCCTTTGCCCCTGCAACTTCCCTGAGTGGGGAATGAGGATCTGCTTAAGCTGCCAAGGCTGTGCAAGAACGTAAGCGGGTGTTAGAGGTAGGAGGGGAGGGTGGTATCTTAGTTGCAGAAAACTTTCCTTTAACTAGAAATCAGAACAGGATGGGGGGCGGAGAGAGAGAGAGAGAAGTAGACAGTGAAGCTACAGTTATGAAGGAGAAGAGAAAAGAAGAGAAGAGAAGAGAAGAGAAGAGAAGAGAAGAGAAGAGAAGAGAAGAGAAGAGAAGAGAAGAGAAGAGAAGAGGAGCTCATGCTGCAGTTTTGACAGAGAAGAGAGCAACGAAGGCCTGAACTTAGGGAAAGTTTGACCATTTGCCATTGTGAAGGTAGAAGTTTCTGAGAGTGTTCAAGGGGGCAGAGTAGACACCACCAGTGCAGTGTCATAAGAAGGGCAGAAATGGCTGGCTTCCATGATTGGGGAAGAGAAAAACAGTGGGGATTCTGGGGGAAGAGAGAGAGAGAGACACTCTTAAAGGCAACAAGGCATCCCTTATTTCCTTTTGTCCCCATGAGAAGAAGTTCTGCTCATGGTGTGGGCATTCCCAGCATCAGAAGAGATGGGCCTAAGTGGCTGAGGAATTTCTTGGTCTGGTGCCAGAACTTTTTAGAGTTCAAAGGAGCAGGAGATCCAAGAGAGGAGAACCGCCACCATTTACACCAAATTGGTCTGGTGTTGTTCAGAAGGTCAGCAATGGCAAAAGGCAGAAAGTTCCGGAAAAGGGTGTCCTATCAGCAGTTCAAAGAGGGGCAATCAGGAGGTGGATCAAGTCCATGAAGGAGTGAAAAGAATGAGGGTGATCCAGCATTTCCCAGGTGCCTTTTGGCCAGGAGTGGGAGGGACAGGTTACACTGAGGAGACATAGAAGTCAATTTCACAGAGTTTCCAGGAAAACTCAATATGAAATCAGGTCAGATACCTTTCCCACTTATAAAGGCAATAGGAGATTAGGTCATTTCTGTCTCCATTTAGCCCAATTTAGTAAGCACGGGAGATATTTCTAGTCTCTGTGGGTTAGGCTTGCAAGGAGATAAAAAGAAAAAGAGAGAGAGTGAGACAGAGAGAGAGAGACAAGGAAAATTGAGAATCCGGGTATGTTGCCTCCTAGCAGGTGCTCCTCCAGGCTTTCAGCACCATAACTGTAAGGCCAAGGAAGGACAGAGCCCAGTTCAGGCCAAGAAAGGCAGTTTATTGAGGAGAAACTGCTGGGTTGGCTCTCAAGCAGAAAACTAGCCCCCACTAAGTTAAAGAGGGATTTTGTATTCTCTTATAAGGAACTTGGGAAGAGATGCTCACAGATGCTTCCTTCAAGATAAGGAAGTGGGGTAGGGTCTCAGATTCCTGGGAGAGGGGTGGGTAGGGTAGTTTAACATCCTTGACAAAGAGAAAAAGCACAGCTGCTGTTTCCTGTGATTGAATTCTCTCAGTAGCCATTCTAGGAGAGGAAGGAAAGGGCCTTGCAGTCCTAATAATCATATATGGAACTATGTATTGTTATGATCTACTGACATATTTCTAATTTATTTTTTAAAAACGAAAAATAGATGAGTTTTTCACTCTAAGCATGATAATTTCATGTAATTCTATAAGTATGAATTAAAAATAGATTTTTCTTTGTTACAGTTACAGCTATTTTTAAAAACTTAACCCAGTCAAACCTTTATAAAGGAAAATTCTTTGATCTGAACATATAGGTATGAACTGGTTCCACCACCACACTGCCTTCTGTGGGCAGTTAACAGTGCCTAGCAGTGCAACATCCATGCTGAAAGGAGAACAAAGAGAAGTATTTTCCAGTGTTTAAGGGACTGAGTGCTTTGCTTACTTAACAAAAAGTCTCCATTGTGCTTTTTACAAGTGAATAATGTTGCCTCACAATTTATTGGTGTAGTTATGACTGAACTCTTCTAGAACAACACTGTCCTTAACAATACAGACAATGCAAATCTGAGCACATACACAGTTTAAAATTTTCTAATAGCTGTATTTTATAATAAAAGAACAGTAAAATTAATTTAACATTGTAAGAAATTACCCCTATGTGTAATCAATGGAACAATAATGAGCTAGTTTGCATCCTGTTTTCACAGCTCTCCTCTGCAGTGTGATTTGTTTTACACTCCCACCCATCTGGAAAGATCGTCTCTGCCTGGGTTCAGACCTGGAGCTGCATACTGCTTCAAATAGCAGGGTCTCAGCACCAAGATGCCCATTCAGTGCTTGTGGGGGGAAAAAAATTCTTTTTTACTTAAGTGTTGTTTTTTTTTTTGCTAATATCTAAGTGTGTTGTATTCCTTTGTAGTACAATAAATTTTAATGCCGAATTATAAATGAGAAGGTGAACACTCCAACTACCACTGTTTACAGGTAAAGTGAATATCAATTTTAAACATTGCTTTTGTGGCTCAATTTAAACGTGCTGGCAGTGGAAGCACAGTGTGTCTGGTCTGTAAATCTGCATGACTGAGACAGTCTCAAAGGGACTCAGATTTTCTTTTCTGGTGTCAACTCTTGCCGCCTTTTTCTCCTTATAGGTGAGGCTGTGCTCACTCAATGCCTTACGTTTTGGGGGCCTGTTCAGGACAAGGTTCCTGTTTCATCCATATATGCTCTGTTAACATGACAGTAGAAGCTGGCAGGGTCTTCCCCTAGAGCAGTTAACTATTCTGGTGGCCTAGTGGTAAGAATCTGTGCTGCAATCCAGAATACACATGGTTTGAAACCACCAGCTGCTCCATAGGAGAAGAAGGAGCATTTTCCTTCTATGTGATTAACTACTTCTGAAAGCCTGCTGGCAGGTCAGCTATGGGTTGGTTCTAACTCAATGGTTCCTAGAAACAACAACATCTCATGCTGAGCTCCCCACTTCCCTATCAGAGAATACTCAGGTCGTGGCAAAAGAAAATATTGGGAAGCAAAAGCAAAGTCAAATAGTAAGGAGATGCAAATTAAATCAATATTATAATTGCTTAGTGCTTCTAATTTAATATTAGGTTCCTGAACCTAGTTTTTTAAGCCACCTTGTGTGTAATTTAGGAAGCTCTGGTGGTCTAGTGGGTAGCAGTGCCAACCTGAAGGCACATGGTTCGAATAAAGGAACCAGCAGTTCCTTTGGAGAAAAATGGGCCATCATCCTTTCAAAGACAATTTATAACCTTTGAAAATCCTCTGGAGGGTCGGCAGTGAGTATTGCTGGGGTTTTTTGATGCTGTTCTCCATTTCTGTGCATTCTCAATGTTCCTGTGACCTTCATATTTCTATCTTTGAAGATCACTCGTCAGCATCATTATAATCATATGCACTAGTTCACTTTTTAGTTATTAATTTAAATTCCCTTGTTTAACTATATTGTGCACATAACATGTCCACATTGTTCACAACCGTGTACTTGGAGTTTAAAATCAGAGGCACGTGGTGTGTATAAATAAAGAAGATTGAAAGCAGAGCCTTAAAGCCATTTTAAACTCTTGACAGAAGTCTAAAATCCATATAAATTTTTTTTCTTTTTTTTTTCTTTTTTTCTATATTTTATTAATTTTCATAAACATTTACAGAGATTTTGGGTTTCCATTCATTCCTTGTTGCACTATTCTCTCTACCCTCCTCCCAGTTTGTTCTTGTCCAAATGCCACAGTGCTTTGTCAAAGCCAGTTCTGATTAATCTTCTTTGTCAGTGTGTCCTTTGCCATTCCCTATCACTCCTCCCTGAGAGAGACTTCACCCTGAGTCATAAGGAAAAGGGGATGGCGTATTCTCTTAGCTACTTCCTGCTGAAAAGGGACGCTGTGGGTTTCAGGGTGAAGATCTTCTCTCACTACTCTAAAGGGCCCCTTTGGCAGTAGGAAAGACATAGACTATTATGGAGATCGATTTTGGGATTTAGATGCACTCTTATTGATTGTGCTTGGCCGTACATGTTCATATCCTTGAAGATGTATCATGGGGGTGTTGCAACCTAGAAGACACAAATTTGACTAACAAGTTATAAGTACATGAGTCCAAAAATTATGGAAAAGTAAAAGAAAAGATTCTTTCATTGTTTTACAAACCCTCCCCCAGGTCCCCTCCACCATGTAGCCCTCGCTCTAGTCTCCTGTGATGACAGAAATACCTAGTTATATATCTCTTTTAAACAGTTTTCTCCCTCCTCTGTTTCAGTGCAGTATACATTATTGAACCCATCTTACTCAGTCTCTCCCCAACAGTGGCATCATGTAATATTTGTCCTTTTGTGACTGGGATATTTCACTCAGCATAATGTTCTCCAGAGTCAACCATTTTGAATAATATTGCATGAGTTCCTTGTTTTTTAATGCAGCATAGTATTCCATTGTGCGAATATACCACAGCTTCTCTAGCCATTCGTTTGTTGATGGGCACTTAGGTTGTTTCCAACTCCTTGCTATTGTGAACAAAGCTGCAATAAACATGGGTGTGCATATATCTGCTTGGATGTCAGCTATGGTCGCTTCAGGGTATATTCCCAGTAGTGGAATTGCTGGGTCAAATGGTATCTCTATTTGCAACTTTTTGAGAAAGCGCCATACTGCTTTCCACAGGGGTTGCACCATTTTACACTCCCACCAACAGTGAATAAGGGTTCCAGTTTCTCCACAACCTCGCCAGCATTTGTTGCTTGCTGTTCTGTTAAATTTTGCTATTTTGACTGGGGTGAAATGATATCTCATAGTTGTTTTAATTTGCATCTCTCTTAGGGCTAGGGATTTTGAGCATTTCTTCATGTGTTTGTTAGCCATCTGAATGTCATCTTCGGTGAAATGCCTGTTCATATCCTGTGCCCATTTTTCTATTGGATTATTTACCTTTATCTTGTTGTGGTGCTCAAGTATTTCATAAATTCTGGATATAAGTCCCTTATCTGATATGTTATTACCGAATACTTTTTCCCAGTCAATGGCTTCCCTTTTTACCCTACTGGAGAAGTTTTTGGATGTGCATAGGGATTTGAGTCTTAGAAGGCATATAAAATTTTTAAGAGTTACATTTTCCTCTAACTTTGATACTGATATAATGATAGACCATAAAGAGGTCATTCCTTTTCTGTGAATTCTGGCAGGTGCCAGATAGGATCATTTATCTCAAAGGACCTTTTTCACTTTAATCTATCAGATGCAGGATGGGATGCCTTGTGCCCAGCATTATCCATTGATCTTTACAATGGACCTCTCCACCTCTAGAAACAGATGTAATTGAGCAAGTGGTTTTACTAATGTTCTTATGTTCCATCGAGTCAGAACCAACCCATAGCCAGCCCTCCAGCAGGTTTCCAGAGACAGTAAATCACACAGAAGGAAATTACCCTTCTTTCTCCCATGGAGGTCCTGGTGGATCCAAACTGTATGCATTAGGCCTTACCAGTAGGCCTCCAAAGCTCCTGTTTCACCAACAGGTTTCCAGAAAAAAAAACCCCTGCCCTGTTGCCATCCTACTACCACCCTGCAATTAACAGAATGATGTGCCTTGGCCTAGTCATAAAATCTCACTTATTCCTGCTAGATCTTCCCTTCCAACCCACAGCTAGTCTTGCCTTTACTGCCCCTGATGGTCTTCTTTCAGTTAGGATGTTATGGGCTTTAGTCTGCTCTCACTTACCGCAGTAGTTACAAAAGTGCACACAGGGTGTGCTCCTCATTGGTGCACAGCAGCCATTCCCCCATGGCCGAAGCCCTGTCTGGGCCTCCCCAATCCTTCGTCCAGTGGCCATGGCCCTGTGTGGGCATCCTCAGTCCATCTGGCTGTGTTTGAGCAGACATGGTGATGCTCTTCTAGGACATACTCCCCTGGCGTCTCTCCTATTAAAATAGTAATATTACTATTATTACAATAATATTATTACTAATATTACAGTAGTAATATTACAATATTACTCAGTGTTGTGTCTGACCAAGTTTTATTATGTGATACCTGTAATCCAAGTAAGTGCTAGTATAACCATTTTAAGGTTTAAATATAAGTAAAGAAATAGGAAAGATGGGTTAAACTTTCAATTTCTGGCTTCAAATATTTTACTTTTTGATTTATTTATTTATTAGAAACTTCCTTAGATCAACATTAACATCTTGTAGATTTGAATAACATATTTTTTTAAAAAATAGGTTTTGCTTCAGTGGGATTATTTCAAGATTATAGTATTGAGGTCCTTCATACTAATAAGGCTTTTTCTATTTCCTCCTTGGACAGAAAACAGTGCATAAAGCCTGCCCACTCAGATAAAGGATGTTTTTATGTGTGAACCAATCCCTTTTCTGTATTCTTTGTAATTTTTACTTTTTTAACCAATGAACTTTAAAAAAATATATTTAAAATTGGTTGAAATATGATATTACTTTCTCAGTTAAATTTTCCTTGTTGTGTACTTGTAAGTAGGAACCAACTCATAGCTGACCTTCCAGTGGGTTTTCAGAAGCAGTAAATCGTGTGAGAGAGATGATCTATCTTTCTTCCAAGGATTTGAACTGCATGCCATTGACATTGATTACAGCATAGCTTCCTACCACTAGGCCATCAGAACTCCCTTACATTGGTTAATATTAAGTTATTTCCCCTTTTTATATTATTCTAGGGAGCTCTGGTGACTTAGTGGTGAGGAATTGTGCTGCCAATGGCAGGGCATGTAGTTCAAATCCACCAGTTGCTCTACAGGAGAAAGATGGCCAGTCTCCTGCCATGTGATTTACTGACCTAAAAACTTGCTGGAGGGTCAGCATGGGTTGGTTTCGATTTGACAGTACACAACAACAAGCCTATGTTATTCATATTTTTACTCAGTTTATACTTTTGTACTTGAAGAATACAGATCAACAACAACAAAAAAAACCGAGTAGGGTTTTATGATGCTCCTAGAACCAGATTGTCACCCTGCTTTTATCTGGTACATCTCTGGGTGGATTGACATTCAACATCTGAGTTCACATTTTGGGTTACTAACTTTTCTACCCAGGAACTCAAAGGAAAACCTGTACTTTCCAAGGTTTGGGGTTCTTCTTCACTGAAAGGAGCTCTGGTGCTGCAATATGTCACCTGTTGCACTCTTAACCAAAATGTCAAAGGTTCAGACACACACAAGGAGAAACAGGAGTCACTGCTTTGTTGTAATAAACTGAGAAACACTCAGACATTTTTTATCAAAATTGAATAAAAAAAATAAATAAACCCTTGAAGTTTGTTTTAGAGTGACAGGTTAGTATGTTTTGTGTATCGTCTGCTTTTTAAATTAGGAGAACAAGGAAACATACTTTTGCTTTTGTGATAGAAGTCTTTTGAGTGTCTTGGATTGTTACAAGTAGTGTCTCTGCTAACGTGTACAGTTTCTTTCACAAGATATTCTGTGTCATTTGAACTTGAGTGAAGGAAAGCTAGCTGCCTGGGATCTGAGAGGCTAGGAGACATTGCCATTTTCCTTAACCCTGAATTAAAAATCACCCTTAAAATATACCAATGGGTTAATTCCCTCACTTAAAATTTACAAAAATATGATTTATAATGAGTTGACTCCATGGGGTGGGTGCAGTCTCCACATGTTTCCGTGCACTGCAGTCTGGACTTTAACTCCTTGGAAGCAAGGATTTTGAATCTCTGTCTCATATACTTTGGCCATTTCACCAGGAGGGACCAGTCCTTAGAGAAGGACATCATGCTTGGAAGGGTGGAGGGGCAGCACAGGAGAGGAAGACCCTGAATGAGATGGATTGACTCAGTGATGAGGGTCATGGAGGTAGGTGTGTCAGAGATAATGAAATTAGCTCAGTTTAGAGTAAGATTCAGAGCTGTTGTACATAGAGTCACTATGAGTCAGAGTTAACTTGACCTCACATAGAAACAACGAGTTGTCAAAAAAACCCTATGTGGTAATGTCTAATATTTGATTACAGATGCGGCTCACTAGTTGACCTCTGTAAAGGTCCACATGTAAGGCACACTGGAAAAAATAAAATAATAAAAATTTTCAAGGTAAGGATTGTTTTGTTTTGTTTTTTTAGTATAGCAAACTTAAGGAAGTTCTAGTGACCTAGTGAGTAAGAAGTTTTGCTGTCAACCCAAAGGCACACAGTTCAAATCTGCTATCTATCTGCTCTGTGCTTGCAATGATTTACTGTCTCTGAAAGGAGGGTCAGCTCTAGTTTGCCCCTGGCTTGCCAGTGCTCAACAATGACAACATAGTGAACTTAAGAAAAAGAAGGAATTTCAATCATATATTGTATAATTTGAAGATCATAACATTTAAAAATACTTATTTAAATGAAAACAAATAGTATCTATTTTTTTCAGTTTTGATATTTAGAACACTCTGCACCTTTTGTTTACTGTTTAACCTTATGTGTGAAAGCACCTTTTCACATGAGGTGTTAAGGTATTGTTTTTCATACTGTGGTCTTCTTAATATGACTTGCCCTAGTGTGAGCAGTATGATGTGTGTGCATATGAAAATAACCTGTCACAGGAATAAGGAAGAGAAAGGTTGCAAGCCCATGGTGAGAACCTGCGGCCCCTGCATCCAGAGGTTCTGGCTTGGTAGGCCTTACCTGTCTGGGCCTTGATTTTTCTTACAGATACAATGAAGGTTGGATGATAGTGCTGTTCTTTATTTTTGTTTATTAATTGTGATTTTAATGAAAGTTTACAGAAAAGTTGGATTTTCATTCATTCATTGTTGCACATTTTCCTCCCTGGTCCCCCTGGTTCACTTAATTAAAAAAAATGCTCATTCATTGTTTCATAATTTCCTCTCTCCACCCACTACCCAGTCCACCTTGCAATGCACCTCTTCTTCTGTACTATTGTCATACAAATAATGCCTAATCATATATTCCTTTTAAATAATATATTCCTCTTAAAATGGTTCTTTCCTTCGTTTGTTCCAATGCAGTGTTCATTATTTATCCCCTTTTCTTGGTTTCCCCCTCAACGTCCATGTCATTCATGTTTGATAACAGTGGTGTTATGCAGTGTTTGTCCTTTTGTGACTGACATATTTTTAAAAGATGAATTTTTGTTACTGTTGAAAACCTACATAGCAAATTCAATCATTTCTATATGTACAATTCAGGGACCCTAGTTACATTTTTCAAGTCGTGCATTCACTCTCTCTTTCATTTTCCAGTTGCTCCTCTGCCATTAGCATCCACTCCCTGCCCCTAGAGCTTCCTGTCCAACATCTGGAGAGGGGCACTACTCTTCTTAACCCTTGACCCATAGATCCTTGAGAAATTGTAAAAAAAAATTATTGTGATAAAGTACATGTACCAAACATTTGCCACTTTAATCTGTTTTAAATGTACAATTCAGTGATATTAATTATACCCACCACGTTGTAGGGAGCTATGGTGGACTGGTGGTAAGAAGTTGCATTGCCAACCCTAAGGTAAGTGGTTCAAATCCACCAGTTGCTCTGTGAGGGAAAGATAGGCAGTGTCCTCCTCTGTAATAAGCGTCTAAAAGCCCACTTGAGGGTCAGTTCTGACTCATCAGTACTCAACAGCCACAGCCTGTACTACCATCTCCCCATCCGTTCAAAAGGTTCTCATCCCCATCAACAGAGACTCAGTACCCCTCAGCAATAACTTCTCGTTCTCACCTTCCTCCAGCTCTTGATAATACCTAATTAACTTTGGTCTGTAGATTTTTATCTGTTTTAGATATTTCATGTGAGTGGAGTCAGATTTTTCTTTTATGTTTTATATGTTTTTATATTTTATGCTTCATATTTATATTCTTTTACATTTTATGTGAGTGGAGTATATTTGTTCTTTACTAGCTTGGAGATTACTTGCACAATGTTGTATCCCTGTGTAGCACATATCAAGACTTCTTTATTCTTTTTTGGCTCAGTAATACTCTGTTTCGGGATATGCTGTGTTTTGTTTATCTTTTCTCAGTTGAAGGTCACTTGACTTACCTTTTCTGGCTGTTGTGGGTATTGCTCCCATTTGCAAGGCAGACCTTCATTCCTGCTTGACCTCTTCTTGACAACAGTTGCCCTTTGAAATTCCTTTATTTTCTCTCTCTCATGTGCATGCCTAGAGTTTACTAAATATATTTTACATAATTTACTGATTGATAGTATAATTTAACATGTTGAGTATTATCGAGTCAGAACTAACCCATAGCTGACTCTCCAGCAGGTTTTCAGAAGCAGTTAATTGCACAGGAGGAGATTGTCCATCCATCTTTCTCCGAGCAGCTGGTAGATTCGAACCATGTGCCTTGGGGATTGCAGTGCAGTTTCTTACCACTAGGTTTAATTGGAATCATTAAGGTTCTTGCTAGTATATAGAATTACCCTTTAAGTAAGCTCTGGTGATGTTATGGTGGAAAAGTCTGTACATAGTTAAGAACACTTTTGTTTATGACCCAATGTTTGATAGTTACTGATACCTTGTTTGATGTTTAGAATTCCTCAACATATTGGGAAGGCAATCCTGAAATGGAAACTTTGCAGAGGATCTATGGAATATCTTTTCCTGATAAACAAATGATGACAACCTGGGAAGAGTTCCAAGAGGAAGCCAAGAACAGAGATCACAGGAAGATTGGAAAGGTACACCCGGAGTCCTGATCCCTGTTAGACAAAACAATTTTGGATTTGTGCCTTATGGTTACATTTCCTCAAATTGCTTAACATTTGTTTCTCCTTTGCCTATCTATTTTCTTTTATGCTTACAGTTAGTTTGCTGATACATTATTTCTTTTTCCCCCTTAAAAATATTTCTAAACTCTTACCTTTTTGTATTTTTTTGAATTGTACATTCTTATTTTTATCATGATATCAAAATAAAGTTACTTTAAAAATTATGTTCACTTTGTATTTGGTTTTAAGAGCAGATAGATGTGAGTTTAATCCAGGGCTTCAAACTGGTTCCATTTGATATGGCCACTTGCTGAGAACTTGCTGTTCTGTAAACTTGTGGGTTGCTGTGATGATGGAAGTTTTGTGACTGGTGTTTTAAATGCCAGAAGGGTCACCCCTGGTGGGCAGGTTTCAGCAAATTCACAGCTTAAGACAGACTAGGAAGCAGGATTGGCCATCCACTTCTGAAGTAGTAGTCCTTTGAAAATCCTATGAATAACAGAGGCACAGGGCAGCTATAATATAAAAGGTAGAGCCCAGATTGGAAGTCACTGAAAATTAAGTAACACATTGAGTGAAATAATGGACTTAAGTATGTCAGAGATTATGAGGCTGGGAAGGGATATGATAGGGTTCAGACATGCTCTTTATAGGATCACCATAAGTTATACTCAACAGCACCTAACAACAACACCCCAGATATATAGAAGCAGGCCCCACATTTTAACAAGATCCCTATTTGAGTCATACAGATTTCTCAAGTAAATTTTATGTTTACAACCCATAATAGAACAAGATTTCCAGATAATTTTTATAGATTTCTCATAACTAAGATTCAACTGAGGAATATAAAAATTACCTGGTAATCTTATGAAAATGTAGATACTAATTAAATATATCTGGTGGGAAATGCAGATTTTTCAGTGGGGTCTGAACCAGAGTGAGCTAGTTTGAAGCCATCTGATGTGGATTCCAGACCCCTGGTGATGGTGTCTGGGAGGTGATAGCCAGAGTCAGGAGCACCCCACCTCCTAAATGGCTTTCCTGATCTTTTTGTCCCACCCCATCCCCAGCCCCCATTAGATTGTACTTCAGGTGTACTAAATAAGAAAATGAGCATAAAAATGAAAAGGTGAAAAAAAACAAACAACAAAAACTAAGGATTCTTATCTTCCATGTGGGATGTGGGATACCTAGGGTATTATGGGCAGCATCGACCCATTTGTCTTGGGAAGAGGCGTGGTGAGGCTGGACAGATCTCAATGGAGTTTCTGGGCTAAGATAAATTAGGAAATCACTTCTGAAATGAGACAGTGCATCGGAATCAACCTGTGGATAAAAATTATTCAGTATCACAGGGCATAGGGTTGCAGACTTGACAGTAGATAACAGTAGCCACATCAAAATAAAAGCTAAGCTCAAAGCTAATAAACCATAAATACCAATTATAATGGTACATGAAATATTATAGGTAGGACCAAAAGCTAAACTATTGCCTTCAAATGGACTCCAAGTTATGGCAACCCAACTGAGACTGTAAATATTAATGGAGGTTCCATTAACAATCCAACATATATCACACACACCAGGGATCCTTCATATTGTGTGTATTAGGTGGTAAGTATTGAGGCACCCTGGAATCTACATTGTTAGAAGTGGAAATGGTAACTGGACATGATAAACTTTCCACCTAGCAGGTGAAATTTAAAGTGCAATTATTGTTTTACTGTAGGAACAAGAACTTTTCTTTTTTCATGATCTGAGTCCTGGAAGTTGTTTTTTCCTCCCCAGAGGAGCCTTAATTTATAATACACTTATGGATTTCATACGAGTAAGTTAACTTTTTAATTTTTTAATTTTTAATTCAACTTCCTTTTCCATTTTATTTCCTTTCATACTAAAACAAATAACATTTCTAACAGCATTATGTTAGCAATATTAATAAAAATTTAAGCCTAACTGAGAAATTCTATTGGATTATATAGTCTAATAAAAATATTGAGAATAATTTCTATTTTTCATGAACAAAATATGGTCATTGCTTTTATTAAATGGTTGCATATATTTCTAGAAGTATGTACAATACAAAGATAAGCATTGATCAAAGGCTAGTGATCCTGTCTGCCACTGCCACGTGGCTTCATACAGTATGATCTGGGAGTGCGGGTCTGCTTCCGTTGCCTGTGAAGTGATTCTCAGGTGACTGGGAGCTCCAGAATGAAGACTTAAAAAAATAAAATTGTAAAATATATGAGAAGCCTGGATGAGTGAGGGTGGACAGTCTAGGTGTGAGTCATCACAGCTGCTACTCTGAATGTACCATTTAATAT